CCCCAAAGGGAATTACGTATATGATATTTACCCTTATACATGGAAGAGACCCAATTCCTTGAAGAATTACATACATAGAATATAGGTCCCCAGTGAAAATATTCATCAATTTTTCGGGGAACACCATCCAATTCCATTGGTTTTCATTGCAACTATTTTTTTTTCATAGTTCTACGACACCGGTCGTGGGGGGGTTCCCTTCGGTGAGCTTGAAAAACTCATTTTTTTAATGCAATACAAAAAGAAATTGATCATTTCGGGGGACCTGTTTTTTGTTGAAACGTTCTACTCTGATGTCAAAGTAGACGCTCAGAATCTTGAGTTCCGCCATCTATGTCAAATGCAGAATGCGGGGGATAGATGGCTCAACTGCCATTCAAAACAGGTCAGTTGCGCCATGTATCCCTAAAAATGACTAATTTTTTGCAATCTTCTGCGCTGTTTTCCCCCAGATGTTTTTTTTCTCAACATCAAGCTGCCTTTTTGGGACATAGATGGCGCAACTCCCACCCATTCGCCAAAATCAGGCTGGGAATGCCCACATAGATGGCGTAACTCCCTCATATCTCCCGACATCCATAAGCCAACCTAACCAAAATATGCCACATAGATGGCGCAACTCCCTCACATCCTGACATCCATAAACCAACCTAACCAAAATATGCCACATAGATGGCGCATCTCCACATAGATGGCGCAATTTTACAATTTCAATATATGCATTCTGATTATTTTTAGATGTATAATATTTACATACCGTGAACCCCCCGTTGTTGGCAGATATGTTTCTTATTTTTTCATCTTTTTTCTAACGGATGTAGGGTTTAGGGTTAGACACGATATATTTTGATAGAAATGTTATTTTTCAACATATGTTGGCCAAAAAAACGAAAAAAGAAAGCCGGGGTACTACAACGATAGGTCCTCAAACACTCTTTGTGGGGACCTATCGCCTGAGTCCTGGTGGTTTTGCCTCCTGTCTTGGGATAACTCTGATGTCCTTCCTGATGGTTTTGCCTCCTGTCTTGGGAAAACTCTGATGTCTTTCCTGGTGGTTTTGCCTCCTGTCTTGGGATAACTCTGATGTCTTTTTTGGTGGTTTTGCCTCCTGTCTTGGGATAACTCTGATGTCTTTCTTGGTGGTTTTGCCTCCTGTCTTAGGATAACTCTGCTGTCTTTCCTGGTGGTTTTGCCTCCTGTCTTGGGATACTCTGATGTCTTTCCTGGTGGTTTTGCCTCCTGTCTTGGGATAACTCTGATGTCTTTCCTGGTGGTTTTGCCTCCTGTCTTGGGATAACTCTGATGTCTTTTTTGGTGGTTTTGCCTCCTGTCTTGGGATAACTCTGATGTCTTTCCTGGTGGTTTTGCCTCCTGTCTTGGGATAACTCTGATGTCTTTTTTGGTGGTTTTGCCTCCTGTCTTGGGATAACTCTGATGTCTTTCCTGGTGGTTTTGCCCCCTGTCTTGGGATAACTCTGATGTCTTTCCTGGTGGTTTTGCCTCCTGTCTTGGGATAACTCTGATGTCTTTCCTGGTGGTTTTGCCTCCTGTCTTGGGAATTGGCGGAACTCGTTTTATGTTCCAGCTAAAATAGCTCTGTTTTCTTTCTCACCGCGCGGTGCCATCTTGTGGGCATTTTGGTTTTTGAGTTGAGCCATTTACTTTTAGGTCAGTGTAGTTTAGGAGCTTCAAACATCCAGGGTTGCTACTCCCCAAAGGGAATTACATGGAATTACGTATATGATATATACCCTGAAATGGAAGAGACCCAATTTCTTGCAGAACTACATACATAGAATATAGGTCCCCAGTGAAAATACTCATCAGCTTTTGAGGAACACCACCCAGATCCATTGGTTTTCATTGCAAAATAGTTTTTTTCATAGTTCTACGACACCGGTCGTGGGGGCTACCCTTCGTTGAGCCTGAAAAATTCATTTTTTTAATGCAATATAAAAAGAAATTGATCATTTCGGGGGATCTGTTTTTTTTTGAAACGTTCTAGTTTAGGAACTTCAGACATCCAGGGTTGCTACTCCCCAAAGGGAATTACGTATATGATATTTGCCCTTATACATGGAAGAGACCCAATTCCTTGAAGAATTACTTACATAGAATTTAGGTCCCCAGTGAAAATATTCATCAATTTTTTGAGGAACACCACCCAATTCCATTTGTTTTCATTGCAAAATATGTTTTTTTTTTCATAGTTCACCCCGCGATTGCCCCAGCAAAACGCGTTGCAACACAGTTTCCATGCTGAAATCGCAGTTGTCCCTTCACAGGCGGCTGCAGCAATCCATGCTTCTGTCAAAAACCTGAAAAGATTTATTTTCCTGGATCAAAATGGATAGCCGGACATATTCTATGTATATGTTGTTTTTTTTTCGATTCCGGAAGATGTTTTTATTCTATGTATAGGGTTTTTTTACCGATTCCGGGAGATGTTTTTGAGGCCGAAATTATCGATTTTGTATTCTATGTATCCCATCGGGATTAAATATATATATATTTATATATATAAATATATTTAAATATTATTTACACACGCGTTTTTGCACATATCTGTACAACTTGAAGGGGAAAGCATTCTAACTGTTGAAATGCTGGTAAAAACAATTTCAAAGGGAACCGTTCTATTTGCGGAAATGCTGGTAGAAGACAATTTCAAGGGGGAAGCATTCCAACTGCTGAATGTTTGTGTAAAAAACAACTTGAAGGGGGAAGCATTCAAACTGCTGAAAGGCTGGTTAAAAAAAAAAAAATCAAGGGGGAAACACTTTAATTGCTGAAATGCTGGTAGAAAAACAATTTCAAGGGAGAAACATTCTAACTGCTTAAAAGTTGGTAAAAACAATTTCAAGGGGGAAGCATTCTAACTGATGAAATGCTGGTAAAAAACTTTTCAAGGGGGAAAGCATTCTAACTGCTGAAATGCTGGTAAAAAACAATTTAACGCGGAAGCATTCTAACTGCTGAAAAGCTGGTAAAAAACAATTTCAAGGGGGAAACATTCTAACTGCTGAAATGCTGGTAAAGAACAATTTCAAGGGGGAAGCATTCTAACTGATGAAATGCTTGCGTAAAGAGCAACTTCAAGGGGGAAGCATTCCAACTGCTGAAATGCTGGGAAGCATTCTAACTGCTGAAATGCTGGCAAAAGCAATTTCAAGGGGGAAGCGTTCTAATTGCTGAAATGCTGGTAGAAAGCAATTTGAAGGGTGAAGCATCCTAACTGCTGAAATGCTTGTAAAAAACAATTTCAAAGGGAAAGCAATCTAACTGCTGAAAAACTGGTAGAAAACCGTTTCAAGGGGGAAGCATTCTAACTGATGAAATGCTGGTAAAAAGCTATTCAAGGGGGGAAGCATTCTAACTGCTGAAATACTGGTAAAAAATAATTTCAAGAAAAACATTCTAATTGCTGAAATGCTGGTAGAAAAACAATTTCAAGGGAGAAACATTCTAACTGCAGAAATGCTCGTAAAAAACAATTTAACGCGGAAGCATTCTAACTGCTGAAAAGCTGGTAAAAAACAATTTCAAGGGGGAAGCATTCTAACTGATGAAATGCTTGTGTAAAAAGCAACTTCAAGGGGGAAGCATTCTAACTGCTGAAATGCTGGCAAAAGCAATTTCAAGGGGGAAGCGTTCTAATTGCTGAAATGCTGGTAGAAAGCAATTTCAAGGGGGAAGCGTTCTAATTGCTGAAATGCTGGTAGAAAGCAATTTCAAGGGGGAAACATTCTAACTGCTGAAGTGCTTGTGTAAAAGCAATTTCATCGGGGAAGCATTCTAACTGCTGAAAAGGTGGTTGAAAAAAAATCAAGGGGGAAGCTTTCTAACTGATGAAATGCTGGTAAAAAACCATTTCAAGGGCGGAAGCATTCGAACTGCTGAAAGGCTGGTAAAAAGCAATTTCAAGGGGGAAGCATTCTAACTGATGAAATGCTGGTAAAAAGCCATTTCAAGGGGGGAAGCATTCCAACTGCTGAAATACTGGTAAAAAACATTTTCAAGAAAAGCATTCTAATTGCTGAAATGCTGGTAAAAAAACAATTTCAAGGGGGAAGCATTCTAATTGCTGAAATGCTGGAAAGCATTCCAACTGCTGAAATGCTGGCAAAAGCAACTTCAAGGAGGAAGCGTTCTAATTGCAGAAATGCTGGTAGAAAGCAATTTCAAGGGGAAAGCATTCCAACTGCTGAAATGCTTGTAAAAAGCAATTTCAAAGGGAAAGCATTCTAACTGCTGAAAAGCTGGTAAAAAGCCGTTTCAAGGCGGAAGCATTCTAACTGATGAAATGCTGGTAAAAAGCTATTCAAGGGGGGAAGCATTCTATCTGCTGAAATACTGGTAAAAAACAATTTCAAGAAAAGCATTCTAATTGCTGAAATGCTGGTAGAAAAACCATTTTAAGGGAGAAACATTCTAACTGCTGAAATGCTTGTGTAAAAGCAACTTCAAGGGGGAAGCGTTCTAACTGATGAAATTCTGGTAAAAAGCCATTTCAAGGGCGAAACATTCTAACTGCTGAAATGCTGGCAAAGCAATTTCAAGGGGGAAGCGTTCTAATTGCTGAAATGCTGGTAGAAAGCAATTTCAAGGGGGAAGCATTCCAACTGCATTCTAACATCTGATGATATTCATAGTGCGGAGGCATTCTAAGTGAGGGATTTGTGCAAAGGGTTCTCCAAAAACAAAAAAACTTAAAACCCGGGTGGGGAGGCATTCTAACTGAAGGATTTTTTGCCGTGCGCGGGCCGCATTCTAACTGAGGGGGAGGAATATTTGGAATTCGCGGAGGCATTCTAACTTTCATTTTAACGGTATAATTGTTATTGTATGTTCATAATGTGTATATATATATATATATATATGTCTAATTTCTGTATAATGTATGTATATGTGTGTGTGGATAGATCGGAGAATTGTTTCATAATTAATTGTTATCAATTGTTATCATATTCCGAGGAACGTCCCACATTCCTTGGCGCCAGGTGGAGGAAGCGTCGCCGGAATACACCGCAGCCGCTGCGAAGATCTCGCAGATGGAGGAGATGCTGTCGCAGGCCCGAAGGGCTGCAGGTAATACTGTGGTAAACACAAATAATTCTGGGATAATACGGGATCATGTGGAAAAAGTATGAATATAGTATGGATATATATATATATATATAAATGGGGGAATATGGATTTAAAGGGATTTTTTTTGTAGTAGTTTAAAGGGGATCAGTATGGGATTTTTTTGTAAATAAACCATCCCTGAAAGAGGTTTTTGTTGATGGGTGAAATTCCTATTTTGTTGGGATGAAACCATGCAATTCGGGATGTTTTAATTTGGGGTGTTTTAAATTGTTGATGAAGTATTATCCCTAAGATCTATGATATATCATTATGTAAAATGTACATGGAAAGTCCTTATTTGGTATACCTCTAATATCCTCTAATTATTAATTTGGGATGATGTCTATCATGACCCCCATTCATGGTTTGTGAATGGGACGGGTTATGGCGTTGGGTTTACCACATTAGATTCTATGGAGTTTGTTGTTGGGGATCACACTCATAAATTGTGTTTGCATCTCTCTTTTTGTGTTTCTTTATCTATAGATATTGTATATATAATATGTTAATATGTGTATATCTCTGTGAATGCAGTACATGTGTGTGTTGTTCATACTTTAGATGTGTAGCTGTATCTCTTATCAATCTCTGTATGTTATATGTGTTTGTAGAAAGAGGTTGATCGCAAGCTACAATCATATGGGACCCATCCCAGAAATGGCTGCATTTCCCTGAGGTAAAAAGCCATGGTTTCCCTAGGAAAACGATCTACAAGAATGTTGTTTTTCCAGATCTTTCTGTCTCTTTACTGGAGGTTGTTGTTCTTCATTTGTGTGGGTTTCAATCATGAGCCCAGAGAGTGTATGTTTTTTCATGGTTGGATCAGATGATCAGAGACCGAACGACTCATATCTTCGGCTAAACCTCAAATTTTCCTGGTTGAAACACCGTTTTGCTGATTATAAATTATACTAACTCCCAAAAAGATGGAAAAAAACAGTAATTTACTATTTTTGAATCATGATTGTTAATTGTTCATGTTGTTCTATGAGTTTGGGAGTTGCTATGAACCACAGCCACTTTTCCGGTAGCCAAATGTGTGGACCCTACAGGAGACGGGCATGAATCCCAATGTGATCCTCAAAGACTTGACGGAGAGAGGGTGGGACTTGATCCGCAGCTTTTGGGGATTTTGATCAAATGGATTGCAAAAGACATTGATAAACAGCTATTTGCAAAATGGACTTGGGGATTTTGATCAACGGTTCTCAAAGCACAAAACATTGATTTGATCGTCATGGGGCCAGTGGACAACAGTCAGACACAAAGATGTCACCAAGCGAATGGCTGATTCAAAACCCAAAGATGTTAGTTCAATATGTAAATTGGGGTTTAAGTTTTTAGATGTTAGGTTAGGCTGCCAAGTTCAATTCTGGATGTATTGGAAGATCTTGGAAGTGCCGCAATGGCCCCAGTGGCCAAAAAAAATGCTGGAATAAATGAAGATAATGAAGCAGGTTCTTTCTATAGTGGATACAGTAGATGTTCTCATTTTGCTGGTGACCTAAATGAAATAAACATGGACATGTTGGACGTCTGCAAACATTGGAGTACTGGCATCATAGCTTCACAATATGTCCATCTCATTGTGGTAATATACCTACTATTGTTGGTATATGTCATGTTCAAAGTATGCCAAAGACACAGGTCTTGATTGTATATAACATAATATATATGTTGGTTTGTATTGACAAAACATAATGCGTGTATCCCGAGATATCTATATATACATATATATATATATGTTTTTTCTCATGTCCTCTCATGTTGCATCAGATTTGTTTTCCATAAATAACGGATCTCTTTGTACTATGTGTACGTTGCAAGCATATAGTGTGTTTGGTAATCAAACACAGCAACACAAGGTTATCTATGTTCATCTCACCAGTGTCCATCCCATTTGTCAACAATGGCACTTCACTTTAGCCCGCATGGTGCTACTTCTGATTCTACATATTTCAACGGTCTGCATCCGCATCCATTCCCAGCTCCATTAGTAACATGACAGTCCCTATGCCCTATGCCATGATCAAAAGTTGGATTATATAGGATGGTCATGGATGGTGCCCATGGAAAGGAATCCCGGTTGGAGGACCAGAGCCCAGTAATCCCATGTTTTGACTTTTGACCGTGGCTTGGTGGTGCAGTGGGTCTCAGCCCCCAAAAGGTTGTGTTTAGAGAGGAAGTACAAGGAACCCTGATCAGAAGCTCACAATTCTGCATGGTCCTACATATCCACTTGGCTGATGGGAAACTGTTGTTGAACGCCAATAGAGTTCCAGAAACAAATCTAGCATTTTTCTAGCTTCAACACGGCAAATGGCAAAATCTCACAACCCTTCAACCTTAGACATCTTATATAGATGGGAAGACACCATGATTACTGTTGATCTTTCCATATTCATCCTTTTTTTAAGTGTCAATCTGCATTCTCAATCATTAACTAATCCCATCCTAACAACAAAAACAACACGTCACCTTGTTCTTTCAAAACAAAAAAACACAAAATTCTTGGACATCCCTCATCCCTCATCCCCATCCCCCATCCCCACCCGCTCCGCAGGAGCTGGTTGAGCTGTGGCCCAGCGTCGCCACGCAGCTCTCGGAGCGTCTGGCGACGCAGCTCTCGGTGCTGCAGCAGCGCATGGCCAGCGCCTGTGCGGCGGCCAGCGCCGAGGATCAGGAAGCCAAGTTGAAGGCGGGTCGGCCATGGGTCAAGCGGTGTTTCCAACAGTTCGAATGGAAAATGCTGGGAATATCTCACAGGTTTGCTGAGCAACCCATTATAGGTAAATGATAGCCACAAGGATCACAAGGGGGGGCAAATTTCATTTTATCTCTATATTTACCGAACAGAGCTGTTAAAAATAGCCTGGTTCATTGGTTATAGTTATAGGGACTTATACTGGGTTATTGGGGATAATGAAGTAACCAGTAGTAGGGAAGCCGTGTTCAACCAACTAGCTTAGTAATGGGACTATACAAGAAGATACTTGGGATAGATACGTTGATGAATGATTATTGCATAAAAATGATAACTTCAACCAACAAATCAATAAATGGGGGAGCTACCAACAGCTATGCATTTACCAAGAGAGTCAAACGGTTCATTTTACCAAGGATAGATGACAATCCACAATTATATATACCAGTGATCAATTGAGTCATGGGGATATTCTGGGAGTATGTATTTGTATATATAAGGGAAGATACTTGGGATACATCAGTACACCAAGTGATTAAATGATGATACAAGATTATCAGAACCAACAGATCATGAAATGGGAATATAACACGGGTGCATAACAAGACACTTCGGATACTGCACATATCTTTGATATAGTATGAGGTGTTTTTGGAATTACTGAACATCATGCTATTGGATTATTGATTTAGAATGACAGCAGAACGGCCAACCCAAAACGGATGATGTTTGACTTTGGGATCCAGGTATCATTGGTTACACCAGCAGAGTTTAAAATGAACAAACTCTGGGAGTGACAAGGAAACCACCGGATTATATAAAAGCAGATGTTCTTTGAAGAAGAAGAGCTGGGTTTGAATCCGACAAATTTGGATTTGGATGGATTTGGAACATAGCTATATAAAATCTTATGTGTCGGATACAATGGGGCTTAGAACTGAGGAAGAAAGTGCCGGGGAAGCTGAGGATTCTATGTAATTTGTTTTGGTGTAATCAAACATAATCAAACATGTCAATGAAATGGAACAGCTTCTATTTATAGATGATTGTTCCCGTAAAAAAAATACAAATAAAACAACATGACAAAAAACAACTTCCACTTATACAGAATTGTCAATCGCCATGTTTGATCACCAGAAGGTTTTTTTTTTAAATATAAAGGTATTCTTGTTTAATGGACTAAACTCAGTGGAATGAAACGATTTTTCATTATCTTAGTTTGTTGAGGATACGGGGTGACAAGAAAAACTTGTGGACCGAGCCTACTCGGCAATCATCCAGGAATTACAAATTCAAAGATTTAACTGGTTTTTCATTATTGCTAACCTTAGCAAATCCTCTGATTTTTTTTTATTTATCACTTTTATCTATAACTAATTTCCTTGGCTGTTGGGTTAGCTACTTGCATCTATTTTTTAGGATGAAACAATAGAGGAGGGCAATAGTAACGTGTAATAGTCATAGTTGTCCCCATTCATGTGATATATCCCCGAAATCAACCTGGTATATTCATAACCATCATAACCCAATTAAAAGGTGTGTATTTACACTTTAGGACTTTAGGATGACTATATACCATCCTGTAAAATAAGATAGATGTGGAACATCCACCGTTTGTAGATCATTATGATTCATGATCATTGTCCCAAGGTTTCCCATGGGTTTTTCACATTTTTTGTATATTTACCCTAGGGTAACCTGAAAAAAAAGAAGAAAACTACGGCTCGCCAGTGGCACAGCTAGAAATATAGCACGAAAGCCCACGTGATCCTGGGAGGCACTTCTAGCCTTTGCTCACAAGGTCCACGATCTTCAGCAATTTGGAGGGCAACAGTGGGTCATGCCACTGCTGTGGTGATTCAACAGAGGGATGATAGTAACCACCCTTAAAAAGGGAACAGCAAAATGTGGGAACAGCAATTGTTGTTGTTGAAAATTTGGATTCAATAAACATGATTCAATCTACAGAGTATTTTGGATGGAATCATGGTAAATTGGTTGTTCTATCTTTTAATTGGAGGATTGCTATACCGCAGACAGTGGAGGAATCACATTTTTTGGTTGCCGGTTGATGTCCGGGTGTACTTGCACCCTTTATGGTTGAATCTTTGCCAGCTTGAACTGGTGAACAAAGAGTGCATTATATATATACATATGTAATTATGTATC